TTTTAGTTAGTGTGTGTATGCGCACGTTAGTGTGTGTGTTTGTGTGTGTGTTTGTGTACGTGTGTGTGTGTGTGTGTGTGTGTGTGTGTGTGTGTGTGTGTGCGTGTGTGCGTGTGTGTGTGCGTGTGTGCACGCGCGCGTGTGTGAGTGTGTGTGTGTGCGTGTGTGCGCGCGCGCGTGTGTGAGTATACGTCTCTCTCTCTCTCTCTCTTTCTCTTTCCCTGCCTTTCTCTCTCTTTCTCTCTTGCTCTGCTTCTCCCTGCTTTTCCCTTTCTCTCCCTCTCCCTCTCTCTGTCTGTATCTCTCCGTGTATCTGTCTGTCTGTCTGTCTCACTGTCTCTGTTATTGCTTTCTCGCTCTCCAACTCTCTTTCGCGCTCCCTCTCTTTCATAGACATTCTCTTTCTCTAATCATTCTACTTATTGATCTAATTATTTGCTTCTAACTTGATCACTAAAAACTATCGTTCTAGCAAGCTATTAGTTATCTGTTAATCATCATCAATATCTTATGTTCGACATTTAAAACATACGCGATTGAATAATCATTGTTAGTTTTTGCTATTGATGTTGATTCGTGTGTATCTGTGATGGGGAGAGTGAGTGATTGGTGATGGAGAGTGAGTGATTGGGGGTGGGGGGTTCGGGCATCGCAGCAAAGGTTATAAAAATATTGTTACACGTACGAGTGCGTGATCAGATAATTTAAATATTTCATACCGAATGCAAATGTTGTAATACAGAACGCGGGCGGGGGTTGGGGGTTGGCTAGATGGAGTTTATACGTACTATGAAAGATTTAAATTGATTAGTTGAGAAAAACTTTTAATTAAATTTAAAAAAATAGAATTATGAGATAAGACTATTACATTTCACTCTAAGACGCTACTATTCGTTGATTAAATCTTCTGATCAATAACCTGATTGATCTGTTCGATCCGATCAATGCGTGTACCCATTTATGATCGCACCTCCTGTAACCATGGTTACGATTCACGTGACGTTGACAGGTGACATCGTCGGACTTGGTGACGTCATGTTTCGTTTCAACAATCCGGCGGAAGCGGTGCTGCTGCGAGAGAGACGCAAGGTAGGTGGCGCCACGGTCGCCACGCGGGACCGACTAACTAATTAATTATTCAATCAGTGCAATTAGTAGTTGATTGGTATCTGCTGCCCGCGTGCTGTGTGGGTAATCACAAGCAGGCAGGCCAGCTGCAAGGAGGCAGGTTTAGGGTAGTGCTGCGCTGTGCTGTGTGTGTGTGTGTGTGTGTGCGTGCGTGTGTGTGTGTGCGTGCATTCACCTGTTATACTCACAACTATGAGCAGCTGTTGACTCTTCATACATGCTTGGGTATATATAATAATACGTATAATAATAATAATAACAGATGATACTAGCTACATAGCTGTTGACAATCTAAACGCATGCGCATACCTATAATAATAATATTTATAATAATAATAATAACAGATGATACTAGCTACATAG